GCGTGATACATGACTGATGACACTTTTTGCCGCAGTAGGTTGCCTTTTCTTTCGGCTCGAGAATGAGGTCTCTCCTGCAATATATCCATAGCTGGAGAGAGAAGAAGAGGATTCATACATTTCCCAACGGTATTAGCACGTAAGTGATTACAATGTATTCGACAGGAAAGTCAAGCCAGTCATGTGCCATGCGTGATACATGACTGATGACACTTTTTGCCGCAATAGGTTGCCTTTTCTTTCGGCTCGAGAATGAGGTCTCTCCTGCAATATATCCATAGCTGGAGAGAGAAGAAGAGGATTCATACCTTTCCCAACGGTATTAGCACGTAAAGTGATTACAATGTATTCGACAGGAAAGTCAGCCAGTCATGTGCCATGCGTGATACATGACTGATGACACTTTTGCAACAGTAGGGTGCCTTTTCTTTTGGCTCGAGAATGAGGTCTCTCCTGCAATATATCCATAGCTGGAGAGAGAGAAGAGGATTCATACATTTCCCAACGGTATTAGCACGTAAGTGATTACAATGTATTCGACAGGAAAGTCAGCCAGTCATGTGCCATGCGTGATACATGACTGATGACACTTTTTGCCGCAAGTAGGTTGCCTTTTCTTTCGGCTCGAGAATGAGGTCTCTCCTGCAATATATCCATAGCTGGAGAGAAGAAGATGATTCATACCTTTCCCAACGGTATTAGCACGTAAGTGATTACAATGTATTCGACAGGAAAGTCAGCCAGTCATGTGCCATGCGTGATACATGACTGATGACACTTTTTGCCGCAGTAGGTTGCCTTTTCTTTCGGCTCGAGAATGAGGTCTCTCTTGCAATATCCCCATAGCTGGAGAGAGAAGAAGATGATTCATACATTTCCCAACGGTATTAGCACGTAAGTGATTACAATGTATTCGACAGGAAAGTCAGCCAGTCATGTGCCATGCGTGATACATGACTGATGACACTTTTTGCCGCAGTAGGTTGCCTTTTCTTTCGGCTCGAGAATGAGGTCTCTCCTGCAATATATCCATAGCTGGAGAGAGAAGAAGAGGATTCATACCTTTCCCAACGGTATTAGCACGTAAGTGATTACAATGTATTCGACAGGAAAGTCAGCCAGTCATGTACCATGCGTGATACATGACTGATGACACTTTTTGCCGCAGTAGGTTGCCTTTTCTTTCGGCTCGAGAATGAGGTCTCTCCTGCAATATATCCATAGCTGGAGAGAGAAGAAGAGGATTCATACCTTTCCCAACGGTATTAGCCCGTAAGTGAATGTAATGGATTCGACTGTAATTCGAACTCGGCTCTCGGTTTACATAGTCTTCTGAAATATTTCTTTCTTCAAGTTACTCCTATCTTATTTTCCCATCTTTTCTGTTTGCTTTAATGAGTTTCATTCGAGTACTTCAAATTAGTCGTATTGATATTTCATATTCACAGTTCAGTTCTATCTGTTGCTACAAGTTTTTCTTTGTACAACAGCCAGTTATGTTTCTTTCGATACATGACTGACGAGGTAGATTTTTTTCCCGCAGTCGGTTGCTATTTCTTTCTGCGATAGACCAGTTGCCATCCAAAGCTATAGAACTCTGTCTGCCCTACTATTTACTCATAGCTGGGGTGGGGAGAAGAAGAGGAGTCATACTTTTCCCAAGGGTATTAGCACGTAAATGAAATGCAATAGTTTCGACTGGAATTCGAACTCTGCTCTCCGATTTCTCAATCCGAGTCGCTCAGAATCAATTCCTATGTCATAATTACCGTTCGTAAGCATTTTAGCCAACGCTTCTATTTTTTGTTTTTCGGTAAGAATTTATATTGTTAAATTTTTCCGTCATGTTCGAAAATGGTATTCTTTTTTAAAACTGTTTTTCAAAACTATATTCAGTGTCATCATGTCTGTGGGAGATAGTCTCCTTTAAATAACTTTCAAATTATTTTGAAAATGGCACAAAAGTTAATGATTGTGATAAAAACGGACTTCTGAAAGACAACGGCATTAAAATTGAATATAAAAAAAATATAAAACCAGGAAAAAAAAATCAAAATATAAGTATCTTGAAGTGCAAAAAAATGTGACACTTGAAGACATCAAAAATTCCAATTCGGTTTTGGGTTTGACTGGAAAATCTTCTGAAAGACTCATTGAAGTGATCCTTGGTAGCTCATGTCTTTAAGAAATGAAAACCAAAAGGTTAGCACGAAAAGAGCTCATAAAATGTGAACGGCTTTTCCTTGTAAAATATGTGTGCGCTCAGGTTGTTTTATGCTAATTTTATCTTTTTACAAAAAATGTACAGTGGAAAATGCAATAACGCCATTTTTGAGCTTAGGTCTCTTGTTGGGATCCAGAAGGAAATGCGTATACAACAAAAATCAAAGTAAATAATAATAATAATAATAATAATAATAACACTACCACAAATAATAAAAGCAGAATGTTTCTTGATTTTGACATTTAGGCCAATCAAGGAAGATCACTATATTTGCTTCTTGTGAACATGAAAATTTAAGTTTTCTAGACCGTATTTTTGTATATCACTTGGTTCACTCTGCCGTGCCAAAAAAAAAAAAAATGAAGAAATTCTCGTCAGAATCCTTCTTGCACATTTACAAATCCTCTATTTGTCTGTGTATCGATTACTGCTATCATATCTGGTCTGGTACTCCTGGTATTCATCTCGAGATTCTTGACAAATTCTAAAGGCGTCCAGAGTCACTTTCTCACCGACGTGGCGTGGCTTCCCTCTGTCTTTTCTACAAATATTTTCATGGCTATTGCTCTGAGGAGGTTTTGTTTTCTGGTGCCCCGACTACAGGAATTTAACAGATTCTTTTCTCGCACCTCCCGACAATAAAACTCCCTCCTGTTTAATTGCTTCCCTGAAATCTTCAAAAATCTAAATGCAACGCCAGTTGCCATCGTCTGTCTTCTTGAATCCCGTTCATCTTTTCTCCTTTCCTCAATTGCCTCCTGGGTATGACGATGGACTACATCCGTGTCCTGTGTGGGGCGGTGGACTGCGTCCAGCGGCAAGACATCTGATCAGGAGGTTTTGAGGAGCATGGAACCGCTTAGTTGCTGGTGTTTCCGGGTCCACCCTGACCCGTGGTGGTGGCACCTGTTGGGGTCCCGGCTATGGGCGGGTAGTCGGCCACGAAACTGAGGTAAAAAGCATTATAAAATATTACCAGCAATACGTTTTTGAAGGAAAAAACTATTACTAGCAATACGTTTTTGAAAAAAAAACAACCCAAAAAACTATTGCTAGCTATACGTTTTGGAGGAAAAAATATTAACAAAAATAGATTTTTGACAAAACAAAAATATTACCAGGAAAAAAAAGTTGTCGGCATTAAATGACCTATTGAGTTTGTATGCCGTAAAACAAACCAAACCAAACCTTTCCTCAATCTATCTATATCTATCTATATCTATCTATAACCCACCCATGCGTACTACTGGTATTCCCGCCTTGCTTGGGGTGAAATGATTAAAAAATAAAAAATTTATGTAATAGCAAGGCACTAGGCAAAGTTAAATAAAACCGATAGAACATATATTACCAGGACGTCGCCCGGGAACCAATAAAACTGAGGAATAGGATTGTCAGCGTCGTACCCTAATAATTAACCTAGCAGTATCCCTAAAACATTAGAAGCGAAATTTGTAGAATTGAGGATAAGAAGTTTTTTGGTTTGGTTTATTTTGTTTTACGGCCTATCAACCTCAGTCATTTAAGGCTGACAAGATTTTTAGGATAGGTTCGTATGAATAGAATAGAATTTCTTTGTAAGAAATCAGTTGTAGATCAGGTTTCACTACCGTATTTTTGTAAAGAGATTTTTGACAAGAGTCAAATCTATTGTTGCTAATATTTTCTTTTCTTTCAAAAATATGTTGATGATGATTTTAATATAAAAAAATCAATGTTTATATTTCATAATGTGTTGATCCCAGTTTGGGAGTTAACTATTTACCAATAGCTGGGACCCTAGCAGGTACTACCACTCCTGGAACAACATCACTTAAGAGGTGGTTTCCGGATCCTCAAAACCTCCCGATTAGAGGCCTTGCTGCCGGATGTCAGAAGTTGTACTTTAGTCTACAAGAACACTGAAAAAGTATTAGAAATCTGAGAATGCATGCTTTCAGTCGTTTCCCAGTTTCGACCACCAGACATCTGATAGAAACATATAAATGCTTTGAAAAAAGTTTTAAAATTAACACTGATGAAAAAAGTATGCTTTTCAGCAATTTAAAAATGAATTTTACAAGCATTTCATGTGTAAATAAATAGGTTCGTAGAACAACCAACGTTTCTCTACATATCCAAACACATATGGATGCTGTATATGATTTCCAACTCGTTCAGAAATGTCCAAACTATTATGTATGCAGAACAGCTTCAGCAGGTTAAGGATTAGAATGGCTTCAAGCGAATGAATCCTTTAGGTATTGCAGAAGACAGTCCTTCATAAGATCCTATAGACTGGCGCTACAAAATCGTAAAAAAGGGCTTTACCAAAAAACAGATCACCTGAAAACTTCTGAGATCAACAACAATTAAACTGTATAGGCCATGTAACTATAATGTTACATGTAAATGAAAATGAATATAAAAATGATATAATCAACATGTTGACTTTCCACACTACGTTATAGAAAATTTTCAACAATAGAAAAAGAGATAACAGTGATTTTTGATTGATTGACTGATTTTTTACGGCTTATCAACCTTTTGTAGGTTATTTAATTCCAGAAAATAATTTTTTTTAGTTTTTAAGAATTTTTTTGTGATAACAATGATTTACTAATAGATGTCATACTAATTAACCCATAGCTGGGGAGGAGAAGAGTTGGATTCAATTCACTCCTTTGCCAAAGGTATTTGCGCGTAAGTGGATATAAATTAACCGTCTTGAATTAGAAATCGGCTCTCCGATATCCAATTCCGAGCCGTTATTCATTACACAATCTGCACATCCAAGCTTACAACACCTGGTAATCCCAAAGGGTCACCCATCTAAGTACTGATCAGTATCGACGTTGCTTAACTTCGGTGATCGTACTTGAGAAGTGTGATTTCCTGAAAAACTATTTTAAGAAAATATTTTTTAAAATTTTGATCGGCAGTAACGCTACATGTTGGCTCAATGAATACCACTGTTTCCTGTATGGAAATGGTTAATTTCGCTGTTACCATTATCGTTCTGAAGGAAAAATTTATCAGTAAGCTACAGGACTTTTAAAAGAATTCATGATTTTCAGTAAAAGATTGTTGGATCTCTATCTGGTATAATCTTGAAGAACTCTAAAAGATAACAATATGATTGTGTTTATTGGAGTTGCTTATTGAGTTCTTTTCTTTTCCATCTTGATGATATTTATTTATCATCTCTCAGTTGCCTCTCTGTCCTTGGAAAGAGTGCTCTTAGCGATGGCTCCGTCAAAGGACAGAGTCGCAACTGAGAAAAATCATGCTGAGAGGTGCCCAGCCCTGAGGAAAAACTGCCCGAAACCGCGTCCTCTCATTGCACCATAGACAGGGATCGTTGGTCGCACCCAGGCCAGTGCAACCGACGGTTGCAGGGACTCGGGCAAATTTTTTTCCTAGCCCGGGTGTACGCGCACGGGCTCCCCACATTAAAGCAACCTTGTGTCACAACTTGACCACGTGAGGGGTTGAGTAAATACAAATCTCTTGATTATATCGGTGTGTGCAGACGATCCCAGCGCGTGCAATCGTTGGGAATAGCCTTAAATTCTTACCGCATATGTATTGGCGTAATGCTTAGCTCCTCCCTACGTGCACCATATCTTCGGTGTGGCGTCAGATTTAAGATACTCTTAGAAAATCACCCTACCCCATGAGCTAACTCAAGTATTCGGAAGCCGTCTATGGCTGTGCGAGCACGGAGTCACAAGTCATCGTGACCGAGGGTTTGAATGAACTCGCCTTCTTCAAAATGTTGATTACACTAGAAACTGCAATCAAGCTCCACTCATCATAGTTGCAGTATAAACTAACGGTTGGCTGAGCAGGCGCCTACAACAGTTATTAACTAGCCACGCTAGAAGACAAGCATACTCAGATACGAACGGCCAGTCATATATTTCTGCATAACTGAAAAGGACAATTAAAAATGTATAAAATTCATTTTATGAATGAACGTCTTAAAAAAGAAATAGATTTTTTAGTATTGGTCATTATTTTTTGTTAAGAAATGTTCTTACTTCAAGAGTCTCTTTAAGCTAGAAATAGAGAAACAAGAATTTAAATTAGAGCCAATTAAATTTTTGTATCAGCTGTGACTTTAATCTGACTTGGATTGAAATGGCCTTGTTCATGCAACTACCAGCTGTACTATTTTTTTAAAATAGAGAACTTGTTAAAATGTATTCTCAAAAAGTTAACGCCTTTGTGCATCCAACGCCAACTAATTGGAATATCGAACATTGTGTTTATTTTCGACGATACTGCTGAGCTTTGAAATTAAAAACTATTGAAACGTTAAGAAAAATTTCTTCAACTCAAAATAAAAAATAGTGGAAGCACTGAAAATGCTGTCTTATTGAATTGTTTTTAATTGTTCAGAATCATATAGGTTTAATTTGACCAGAAGGTCTGCCAAGTTGGTCATCCAAAATTACCTTAGAATTAAAAGGTTAAATATTAATTTTATTCTAAACTACGAGCCACATTAAAGCGAACGAAAATACTGCGGGCGATAGACTTTGTGAATCTTCTCAAAGAAATTGTTTTTAACCTATCTTATATATCTATAAGTCTAACATTCGTCCATGCTTAGAATATTCCTACCAAATATGGTTCGGTGCTCCATCTTGAGCTCCGAGATATAATCCAAAGAAGAATCAGCAATATTATTGGTCTTGATCTGGCGGCTCGGCTTCAGTCACTTTGCCACCGCCGTAAGGTTGCCTCTCTGTGTCTTTTCTATAAATACTTCCATGGGAATTAGTCGAATGAGCTCTTCGCTATGGCAGCTAGATTTTATGAATTTAAGCGGAATGACTTCGAGATTTTTTTTAAGCGTTTCACCCCAAGCAAGCCGGGAAGCCACTTGGACGCAAGGGGTTACAGGAGATTTGGAGCAAGATCAGATAGGAGTGATAGAGGAAAGGATGAGGAGAAGGATAGTGGATAGATCAAGGCAACTGGAGATGTCGATTACATTTGAATAGTTGGAGATTATAGTTCTCATGGAAACTGGAATAGGGAAGGGAGTTCCACAGGCGAGAGGTGCGAGACATGAAGCTATTGGAGTAGAAGAGACGGCTACATTTAGTAATTTCTACAGTGAAAGGGTGAGAGCGGGATGCCAGCCTCGGAGGGCGCTTGAATTCCTAAAGCCTGGAAACCAGCGAATGCAGCTCTTAGGAGCAATTACCATGAAAGTCTTATCAATTTACAATTAAGCTAGCTAGATTTTAGCCGTAAGTTCTATGCTAACAGTTTCTTCTCTCGCACTTCTCGTTTGTGGAACTCCATTCCGGCTCCATGCTTTCCAGCCAACTTTAATCTGTAAAAATTTAAATGCAATGTCAGTTGCTATCTAATGAAAGAAATGTGTACACATTAGAAATCAAAGGAAATAATAATAATAATAATAATAATAATAATAATAATAATAAAGCATTGGCAAAAATATAGAAAAGGAGGAGGTGTAAAGTGAGACTGTGAAAAAGGAAAGATAGGAAGTAAGAAAGGTAATGCAAAAGGTAAATAAAATCATATGAAAGGAAAAGGAAATATATACATATATGTATATGCTGGTTATTTTTAATCATCAACCGTTTTTAACTTTTGTCTAGACTTGTATATGTTCTCTCTCCCTACTTTGGTGTTTCTTTTCCCTCTATCTCCCTCTAAAATGCCTTTTCCCTTATTAGCGGTTTGTTCCTCTATTTTCTCCCCATTTTAAGATTTTATATTATTAGGATTCACTTGAACTACTTATCTACGGATTTTTTACCTATATATATATATATATATATATATATATTCGTTGTCTGTTATATTTAACAGTTAAGTATTAATAAATTAACAATAATTAATTAATAATTTAACAGTTAAATATTAATAAGTTAAAGTTAATATTTGAATAATGATATACTGCCCCAATATACACACGCACACGCAAACACACACACACACATACACACACACACACACACTATATATATATATATATATATATATATATATATATATATAGACTGTTTATTGAAATGGGTTTCTTGATGTTGGTGTGAGTACACATATGCATGAACGTGGGACGCTGGCTGTAAAAATTGAGATATAAATTTAAAATATCTGTAAAGACAATTTTCCTTTTGTCTTTCATATATATATATATATATATAACTGCTAAATTTAAATCTTGTGCCGTTTATGTCACTTTCTTGTAACTGTTCTTGATTAATTCGATATATATATATATATATATATATATATATAAATATAAAGTGAGCATAGAAGTCAACACTTAGAGGCGACAGTCTGTTTCATGCTAGACGCAATTATCAGGCCTGACGATTGCATCTCGCATGAAACAGACTGTCACCTCTAAGTGTTGACTTCTATGGTCACTTTTATATTTACACACGCCCTGTCTCTGATATTGAGCACTTTATCCCATAAATATAGCACATGTTAAACTATATTTCTTCATTTTGTCTTTCTTATATTTATATATATATATATATATATATATATATAATTGAATCTCACTAACCAACGGTTAAGTTTAGAACTGAAGCGCCACATTACCTCCACAGGTGATTTGATTACAGGTTTATGTAGAACCAACCACACTTCTTGGAAGAAGCAACGACAGGTAAATGGTGCACTCTGTACTGCAAAGTCTCCAATCAAGTTTCCTCGGACATGTTTTCTTTCTCACACATTGTCTGTTACCCAAAACAAGAGCGCTCTGTTTACCTTTTATTTAGCCACTAACTGGAGTGAAAATAGATTCATATTTGTTTCCAGGGATTTTAGCGCAAAGTGAACGAAACAGTATTGACCGGAATTCGAATTCGGCTCGGCATCTTCACTTTCAGCGCCGATAACTGTAACTTCATGTGCTAAGCAGATGGCAATAACGTTATAGCAAAAAAAAAAAAAAAAGAAAAAGAGAAAAATGGAAGTACTTGGTATTCACTCTGTCTCCCCACTAAGAAGGTCTCTTTTTAAGGTGGGGACCCTAGCGCGTCTACCCGGGCCAGGAACAAAAATTACCCGCAGTCACCGCAACCGTCGGTTGCGCTGGCCTCGGTGTGAACACCGACCACTCTCTCTGGTGCAATGTGAGGGCGCAGCCTCGGGCATCTGTTCCCCAGGGCTTGGCACCTCTCAGTATAATTTTCCTCAGTTGCGACTGTGTCCTTTAACCCCTAAGAGAACATTCTGCCCAAAGACAGAGATGCAACTGAGACATAGTAAATAATATGTTAAAAACCGCTCGAGAGAATAGTCTGTGAGACAAGTTTGTCGATCTAGCAAAAAGAAAGAACTGACCATTAACTTCAGAAAACAGAATACAGGGTGGTGAGCAAAAGAGGGAACCCAACATCCGATTTACATATTGGGGATGTCAAGGATAAATTCAAACTTTTCGATGTGTAATAACAAACGTAAAATAATATGTAGTATAGAAATTCCACGGTGCATAGGAATCGTAAAGCGTATTTTTTAGATTCGGAAAAAGATACTAAAAACATTAGAAACGAAAAAAAAAAAAACAATTCTGGACTGTTATAGTCTGCTTTTCTGTCTGGTAGTGAAAGTTCGAGAAAGAACAAAAATGACTAGTAGCAATCAAAACATCATTCCACCGAAGAATATTAAGAAATCCATGGACAGAACATGGGACAAATGAAGAAATTGTAAGGTTTGGATTGGTTTGGGTTACGGCATATTAACATTTTGCAAGTTATTTAACCCTAGAACACTAACCATGGGTATATAGTACCCAGCGCAAATTTTCCTATTTTTAATTACAATTTTCAGTACCTGACTTTCTTACCTAAATAATGTTTTTCAGTT